TTCTGACACTGAGCTACATCCCTAGCCCTTTTATTTTTCATTTTGAGACAGGATCTCACTAAATCGCCTAGTCTGGCCTTGAAAGTTTCCCTGTAGTCCTAGTAAGCCTTAAATTTTCAATTCCCCAGCCTCAGTCTCCCTAGTACCTAGGATGACAGGTCTGTGTCACAAGGCACTCTTTTCCTTAGTGCTAGAGATTAAACCCAGGGATTCAGAAATGCCATTGAGCCACACCCCCAGCTCAGCTACACATACATACCTTGAAGAAACTCTTCTCCACATATACCAGGAGACATGTATAGAAATGCTAAACGCAACACTATTTTTAGAGGCAAAAAACTGGGAACAAATCTAAATACTCAGCAATAGAGTCATTAATAAAGTATAGCCATCTACATCAGCATGGATCTATCTTAGAAACACAATATGTAATGAAAAAGAGTTAAGTGAAAGTCAGGCATGGTGGTGCACCTTTAATCTGAGCACTCAGGAGCCAGAGGTATGCAAATCTCTGTGAGTTCCAGGCCAGCCTGGTCTACATAGTGAGTTCCAGGACAGCTGGAGCTACAGGGAGACCCTGTCTCAAAAAGAAAAAAAAAAAAGAACCAGTTTCATTAAAACACTTTAAAACTTTGGGGGTTGGCAGGCTGGCCATGATAGGGTATGCCTACAATCCCAGTACTTGGGAGACAGAGGCAGAAAGATTACCACAAGTACACAGCCACTCAGACGGCATAGTGAGTTTCAGGCCAACCAGCAGACAAACACACACACCAAAGGGAAAAAAAAAAAATCCTGCTTTGTTTTGTGTGTGACAGGTTCTTCCTATGTAGCCCAGGATGGACTCAAACTCACGGTCCTCCTGCCTGCCTCTTTCCCCCTCACTCTCTACAGTGCTGGGGCTTGACCCTCAGTGCCTTATCCTTACTGGACAAACACTCTAGCACTGAGCTACATCCCCAATTCAGTGCAATATCTGTGCTACTAAACCTCTCACTGATTGCTTGATTCCTCCCTCAGAAGCAATCCTCTCTCTCTCTCTCTCTCTCTCTCTCTCTCTCTCTCTCTCTCTCTCCCTCTCCCTCTCTCTCAGTTTACTAATATCTTGAAGACCTTCTATCTAGGGAACTGACTTTAGCAGAGTGGAAAAGGCAACAGTCAGTGTCAGCATCTTAGGAGTCTGACCACGAAGTTGAAATTAACAATCACAAATGGGCTGAGAGTGTACCTCAGTGGTAGAATAATGCTTAGCATTCTTGAGGTCCAGGGTTCACTCCCCAGCACAAAAGCAAATTAATAATAATCACGAATAAAGTCGTTCTGAATGGGTGTGATGGTGCATGCCTTTAATCTCAGCACTTGAGAGGCAGAGGCAGACAGATGTCTGTGAGTTCAAGCCTAGCCCAGTCTACAGACAAGTTCCAGGCCAGCTGGGGCTATAGAGAGACCCTGTCTCAAAAAGACCAAAACAAAATAAGTAAAATAAAAACCAAATAGAGTTCTAAGAATCTTTATTAGAATGCAAAGATAGCACTAAAGTTGTAAAAGAATTTTGAGAAGTTAGCACTAGATAGATTATCCTTTTTTTTTCCAAATGGGGGGAAACTAGGGTGTTGAGAGATGAAGTAACTTGTGTAGTTACTCAGCTACTTAGTAGTATGGATGGACCTGAACTCCTAGTCTCCTTGCCTCCAAGTCAGGCATTCATTCTGTGCCATGTGCTTGGCACACATGCATCTAGCAAAATAGACTTCTCTCAAACCATCAGAATAAAAAACAAATTATGCAATATTCTGTTTGCAATATTTTTAATTGACAAATAATAATTGTGTATATGTATGGGATACAATGTGATGTTTTGATCTATGGATACATTCTAGAAAGATTCTACCCAGCTAATTAACATATCCATCATCCTACCAATTTATTTGTGTGTGTTGAGAACCTTAAAAATCTATTTTAGCAACCTTGGAATATCCAACACATTACATATGGTTCCTGCGCAGTGTAATAGATCACTAAAATTTATTTCTGCTGTCTAAATGAAACTTTGGACCCTTTGATCAAAATCTTCCCTTTCTCTATCTCTATCCCATTACTTGACAGCACTTTCTCTCTCTCTCTCTCTCTCTCTCTCTCTCTCTCTCTCTCTCTCTCTCTCTCTCTCCCTTTATGTTTCTTCCTGTGAATCCCTCTATCTGAGGTTCATATTGAACAGTAACGTGCCTGTATGGTTTTGATTTTTCTTCTCTAAACTACTGCTTCCCATTCAATGGCAAATACCTAGGAGCCAATCAAGACTCTTTCTTGGTGACCTTTGTGGAAAAGAACACAGGGATTTCGATATGAACCTCCCTCTTAGCCTACCAGTCAATTAAACCGAGCCTCTGGCCCCCTGAGGGTTGTTAACCAATCCAAGGAAAGGAAAGATCAGTTTCATTTCTCCGTCACTACTGTGCCAGGAGGCTGCTAACCAGTCAGAATCTGCCACTAGAAGTCATTAGAAAAACTGGCCAATCAGGCCAACCTTGTTACATGGCCTGGTAGGAAAAGAAAGGGACTGATTGGAAAGGATAGTTCTGGCTCCACACCCTTTCCTCCCTGGACTCCAGTTCACTCAGTGAAGGAAGGGTCCTTCCCCAAGCCTGTGGCTAAGAAGATCCTAGTCCCTCGAGCTAATCTTCTCTGGGATCACCCCTCCCTCGAATACCTCTATCCACTTTCTGTAGTCTCCCTGTCTGCTACTGATCTAATTTATTACTTCAAATCTAGTGGCAGGAGCCCTTAGGATTCTTACCCTCCCCATAGATCACTCATCAATATGTCAACCAACTGGTTTTGCATGATTTACGTAAGTGAAAAAGTTTTGTGATACTTGAATCGCTTTCAGGAGATACTGTGCGAGGAGGGCCTTGCTATCAACAGTCTCAGGGGAGCAGGGCAGAATTGAATTGCAATGATCCCAACTATAATAATACTGACGATAACGATAATGGTGATTACTGAACTCTTACGGAGTACCAAGTCCCTTGTTAAAAGCTTCACGTACAATATCCCAATATAGGCTGCAGAGTAAGCATTGTTATTATGCCCAATTTGCAAATGAGAAAAATGATTTAGAGGGGTTAAATAACTTGTCAAAGGTCACACGGCTATTTGGGAAGCCAGTTTTGTCTAATCTGAAGCCTGCCCCTGTTTGCGGATAAGGGGACCTCAGACATTACTGGCTGCAGTAACCTTTCGGAGGAACCAGGTTTAGCTCCTCACAGGCCCTTTTCTGATCCACTTTCTGGGATTTTGTTAGACATCTGAGATTCTCTAAATTGTCTCAAAGAACAGCTGCAACGCCATTTGGTGGCCCCTAAGAACTGTAGACTGTGCCCAGGCCGAGTGCGGAAAATAATTCGGTTTTGGCGGGCGTGGAGTGTCCCGGGTCCTCAAGGGATCAGCTCCTAAATCCTCGCTAGCCTATCGTTCTTCTCACTGCGACTTACACGTGCCTAGCACTGCTTAATACTTGGTAAATACCTGTTGATTGATTCCCAAAGATCTCAGTTCCGCCCCTGCCCGGGTCAAGAACTGGAGCTGGGGAGAGATTTGGGGATTTCAGGAGAACCTGTAAGCGTCCTAATCGAGCTGAAATCGAGGATTTAGGAAAGGCGGGAAGTCCCCCACCCTATTCTTCTCTCATTTCTCCTCACTCTTTCGCTCCCTTTCTGGAGCTCAGAGCCATAAAAATGCAGATGGAGGATCGGTGTGAAATAACGGGCCCATATAAATCCCTCTGCCGCCCGCCTGCAAGATGGATTGGCCGCATTGAAATTCCTCCGCGAGGATAATTAAACTCGGGGCCTCATCCGGGCAAAATTACATTCCTGTAATGGCGTCGCTCGGGGTCCCGGGAAATTGCTCCGTGGGCTTTCAGCGGCGGTTTTTATCGCCGGCCGGGGTGTGCCTGGCTGCGGCTCGCCTCTCCTCCGGGACCGTAAAGCTGCTGCCGTGATTTATCCTCCCCTTCTCCCAAATCCGATTAAATGGAGGAGCTTCGGGCCGGGGCGCCGCGGGGCCGGGAGCCGGGAGGGGGTGGCGGGAAGGACGGAGCCAAGGAGGGGAGGACAAACGGCCCCTCAGAGGGTGGCGGATTTGGCTTTATTTACAGCCGCGGCTTTCCTTTTATTTCTTTATGGGGGCTTGGTGAGCTTTTCCCGTCTTCCCCGGGCTGCGTTCAAGCACCTAGCCCCGACAGCTGGGGTGCGGAACCCGCGGCGCAGTGCCGCTCTCCTCCGGGAGGGTTTGGTCCAGCATGCAGACAAAGGCCTGCAAGGGGCCGGGGAGGGAGGGATGAGAGGGCACGCGAGAAGGCCGTGGCTTGGGGAGAGCCCCTCCTGGATGGACTACCCCTCCTAGCTTCGGAGCGGGCTTGGCAGGCAAACTGGTCGCACCCCTACTGAGGTCACAGGTGCCTGTTATCCCCAGTCGGCCCCAGAAATCAAAGGAGCTTAGGGTTATTTTTACCCCCTCTACCCCCTCTCTTCTGACACGCAGACGCTGTTTTTCTCGTGCTTATCAACGGAATAAGAAAACCCTAAAATGAGGCAAAAGCAGCATTTCACTATCAGCCCATCGGGCTGGTTCTCATCTCCCATCCAATGATGCCAGGGCCCCCAGGGTGACAAGAAGCCAGGAATCCCATGACTTTATTTTTCCTCCTGCTGCATTTTGGGCACTGAACCCCAACCCCACTATATGCTACACACAATTTCTGAGTTGGCTGTTGTCCTTTTTTTTTCCCAATGCAATTGCGCATGCTCGGAAAACACGTCCAAGATTCCCAAAGGCTTGTGCAAACCAAACGGCCCGCCACGTTGCGGATCGGCTTAGTCTGCAGAGCTTGGCTGCCTTCCGGCTCACGGTCGGCTCCTCCTGCAGCTTCTCGGCTCAAACGCCAGATGGAGCATCTGGCCCGATGCCGCCACACAGCAGGCAGGCGGCGCTGTGGCGTCCGGGCCGATCCCCTTCCTCACATCCGCTCTATCCACCGTGGAGCAACTCGTTAGTGCGGGTCACGCATGCGCAGAGCCTTCTTTCGCGCTTCCCGTGCCTCCGCCCCTCTCTGTCTTCTCTTCCCTGGGAGCAGGTAAGGCCTGGAGGCCTCGTGCCTTCTTTTCGCCGCCCAGGCGTGCGGAGCAGCCCCCCGTGTGCGGACGCGTGGCTGCCCTGACCTTGCCATCTCCCACCCTGGTCTTCTCACCCTCCCGGATGCCCATGTCCCCGCAGCCGCGAGGTGCCGGTGCCGCGTGCCGGTGACCTCTAACCACGCGGGCTTGGCGCCATCTTGGGTGTCTGGGGGGTGGGGGGGGGTTGGGGCTGGCGAAAGGCAAATCCTGGTGTGCATGGTTTCACTGGGCCTGACGCAGCCCTTTCGGACGCTCTTTGCTCACCGTCCGTGCCCTTCAACGTTGTCACAACCCCAGACTCTCCTCTCCTTTCTCTGCTTTCTTGTGTCATCCCGAGTTTACCTGCCTTGTATTCAACCTCAGGACCTCAGGCGCTGTGAAGCTAATTCACTTCCCAAAGTCACCAACCCCTCTAATCAGCATCCTTCAGTTCGAAAAGTAAACTGTAAACGTGGTTTTAAAAAAAACCCGTGCACAGACTCTGACTTGGGAAAGCCAGGGCAAAAGAGGGGCCTGTTTCTTTCGAAATGGTGGTTAGTTTCCCAGGACCTTTGTGTTTATAAAAGTTCTGGCATTCTGGTGAAAGTGGAAATCAGATCACAAAGGGTGGACTTAAAAAAAACAAAGGTTTCTGTTAGAGGCAGCAGGCCTAGAGGTGGGGAGAGGCCCAGCTTTAAGAGTTTGCACCTGCAAGGTTTCCTGACAAATGTTTATTCTTCAGCTTCTGCCATCAAGAGGCAAAAGGAGGTTTACAGATTGGAATGGTAAGGTTAGCACCCCTGTAAATGCGTCGGGGAGGAGGGTTTAGTCCTGCCATGGTGGCCCACACCTTTAGTCCCAGCAGAGGTATGCTAATCTCTTGAGTTCAAGACCAGCCTGGTCTACTGTAGCAAGTTCTAGGCCAGCTGGGGTTACAGGGAGACCCTGTCTCAAAAAGACCAAAAACACGGTGGTTTAGCTCAGATTCTGGAGAGTTCCTTTGCCCAGGTATAGGATATCCATTGCTTGAACCCTTCCCAAGGTTAGGTGACCATTGGAAAGATCCTTTGATTGTTGCTTCCTTAATTGACACTCTTTGGGCCTTATTACTTAACAGCAGACATTATACTCTTTACATATGTTAATTTGTAAATTACCAAACAGTTCTCATAAAGACTTATTTTCAATGTTTTATTCATGCGTATTAGTATATTGCCTGGGTAGGTGCGCCTGCCATGTGAGTGCTGGAAATCAAACCCAGGTCCTGTGCAAGAGCAGCCAGTGTTCTTAACCACTGAGTTGCCCTTTATTTATTTATTTTTTTTTTGAGACAGGTTCTCAGTATGTAGTCCTTGCTGGTCTGGAACTCAGAGATGACACCCACCTCTGCCTCCCAGAGTGCTGGGATTAAAGGTGTGCACCGCCACAACTGGCTACTTTTTTTTTTTTTTTTAGTTCAGTACACTGTAAGAGGAAAGTGGGCTGGGCTGTAACGAGAGCACTGCCATGACTACATTTTATAAATGATCATTTTAAGACTTAACTGCATTGGGATTGGTGGACATGCCTTTAATCCTAGCACTTGGGACTCAGAAGCCCAAAGATCTCTGGGAGTTCCAGGCCAGCTGGGGGCTAAGGGACACCCTATTTCTAAACCAAAAACAAACAAAAAGGCCCAGACCTCCCTTTTCTTTTAGTTTCTTGAGATAGTCTCCTCTCCATAAGTAGCCCAGGTTGACCTCAAACTCATGATCCTTTCCTTCTGCCTCAGTCTCCTCAGCGCTGGCATTACAGGGCATGTACCATGATGCCTGGCTCAGACCTCCCTGTATTCTTTGTGTATGCATGTGCGTGTATGTGCATATGTGCCAGAGATTGATGGCAGGAGTGGTTACTTTCCACCTTTATGTTTTGAGATAGGTCTTTTACAGGACCTGAACTCTCAATTTGACTAGACTGGCTAGCTAATGAGTTGCAGGGATCCACCTGTCCCTCTCCCTGGCACTTGGGGTTACCAGCTCAAACTAGTAGGCCCTGTTTTTTTTGGTTGGGGTCTGGCTGTAAAGAAATACTGTTTTTTTAACTCAAGAAAGCCTGAAGAGTTGGGCAGCAAATTTGGGTTAAAGTTACATAAAGGCAAAAATCAAAGTTTTAGAAAGGGCCAAATCACAGCACTCCAGGAAGCAGTGGCAGGCAGATCTCTTGAGCTCTGGGCCACCCAGAGCTACATGATGAAACTGTCTAAAAAGAGCTTTTTTTTTTTTTGATCTTTTTGAGACAGGGTCTCTCTGTAGCCCCAGCTGTCCTGAAACTCACTATGTAGACAGGCTGGCCTCCAACTCACAAAGTTCCGCCAGCCTCTGCCTCCCAAGTGCTGGGATTAAAAGTGTGTATCACCACACCCAGCGAGTTTTCTTTTTTTTATATAGAAAAACTTAGACATCCATCTATCTAAAAATAAGATTCACATTGTACCTTGGACAATTTGAGTATAGTTTCTTAAGGAAGACTGCAGGTCTACACCTTCATCATGTATCTCACCCTATGGAGTAGTAGAGCTTAACAGAAGAAAAGGCTGGCAGTGTGGCTCAGTGGTAGAGCACCTCATTAATAAATGCACAAAGGCCCTAGGTTATTTCCAGCACTGCCAAGAAAAAAAGTGAAATAGGAGTCAAAGTCCTAGCCCTACCATTGATATCAGTGTTAAAACCATGTTCTTACAGTTTTGTGTACTTTTAACTGAAAAGATAGTTGATTGGAAACTTACTTGAAATTCAGGGACCAGAGATCTTGACCAGGAAGATCTAAGGGAGAGCCCAAGAACATGCATTTAAAAAATAAATAAATTGTTATTGTGTGTGAGTGTATGATGTGTGTATGTAGGCATGCACTTGGAAGATGACTTTGAGAGTCGGTTCTTTCCTTCCATCCTGGGGCCCAGGAATCAGACTTGTATTGTCAGTTTTGCAGGGCAAGTGCTTTTACCCTCAGCCATCTTGCTGGCCCAATAGCATGTATTTTAAATACATACCACCTCTATTCCCAGGTAATTCTGGTTCAGGTGGGCTTCATGATCTTGAGGATACAAAGTCCAATAATCTTAGTGAAGTAGTGAACTAAGAGTTCACAGTTGTTGCTAATTAGAGTAGTGCCGGGTTCTTCGATGGTATTTTGAGGAGTCCAGGTAATTCAATAAAAAGATGGATGGAGGCTGTAGAGAAGGCTTAGTGGTTAAGAGTACTGGTTGCTCTTGTAGAAGACACAGGTTTGATTCCCAGCATCTACATGGCAGCTAACAACTGTCCTTAACTTCAGTTCCAGGGGAATTTGATACCCTCAGGACATGGGTGCACTTACATACATACAGCCAAAGCGCTCATATAACATGAATAAGAATTACAAAAGAAAAATATTATTGGAAAACTTCCAGTCTCTGTCTTCAAAAAGAAACTCCCAGAACTATAAGGATTCTAGTCTTTGGAGGCTAGGCTTTAAGCTTGAGTTCTCTTACCACCTCCCAAAAAACCCAACTCTAATCCTTTCTGTTTTTGAAACAAGGTCTCACTCTCTAGCCCAAGCTGTCCTTGACCTTGCAGCACTTCTCCCTCTGCCTCCTGAATGCTGGGATTATTGGTGTTAGGACTACCACATCCTGCTAAAATTCTAGTCTTTAAAAGACAACTTTTTTTAAAAAGCCCACACACTAAGGTCCAGAGAAGAGTTGCTTTTAACAAAGGGATATGGGTGGTGGGTATGACTCTGGGAACATTACTTTGACAACCCCAAATCATGAGACCATGGAAATGGTTAATAGCTCTTAAAGGAGGTAAAAAGTGACTCCTGTACAGGCCATGAGAAAGGCACTGATTTCAGGATTCTAATGTTATCTCTAGTGATGTTTTGAGATTAGTGACTCTGCTGTCTGGGCCAGCTAAGTTTCTAGAACGTTTTGGCTCCTAAGGATATAGTTAGTAAGGACAGTGTTTACAATACTGCTTCTGTTTCTAGCTCTCCTGCCTTGACCCCTGACCCCTGAAAATGTATGCCTGCTCCAAGTTCCTCTCTACCCGCTCCTTGGTGAGTATCAGCTTTTTCTGGGAGAATTTTAAAGGACACCCTGTTTTTTCCATTTAGAGAATCCCAGGGGTATCTAGCCTTTTGACATGACAACACGACATTGTCACATACAAGTTGTTTGGACCATGTACATAGCTATCCTAGAATGCATGCAGCCTGTTGGCCACAGTTAGACATGCCTGTTAGATGTGCTGGGGGAGGGTGCTGACAGGAAAAAGGGTGCTTGCCAGGCATTCCCCTGGCCCATATTTTTATACAGCTATGACCAAGATCATGTTACTCCTAATCGTGAAACTGTGTGTGTTCATGGTAAGCATATAGTCTGTTACATAGGTTGGACAGAGCATACATTGTATGTAGGATCTTATCTTGAGTGAGCCATAGCTAAGAGTTTGTTCTAGGAATGTACGCCTGGGGAAGAGAAGCTCAAGTACACACTGGAAAGGTGTTCAGCTCAGAAGCCACAGGTTGGTAGAGGCAGTTTATTGATGCCTAAGAAGAAGATGATGTTAGCCGGGCGTGGTGGCACACACCTTTAATCCCAGCATTTGGGAGGCAGAGGCAGGCAGATCTCTTGAGTTCAAGGCCAGCCTGGTCCACATAGTTCCAGGACAGCTGGGGCTACAGGGAGACCCTGTCTCAAAAAGACCCCCAAAAAAAAAGAGATTATGCTGTTAGCAGGTGCCACTTACTAAGCACTTACTGTATGCCTGACACTAAGTTTATCAGTTTGTATACTTCCCACTTAGTCCCCAGAACCCTGAAAGAGATTATTCCCATTTGATAGGTGAAGAAATAGGCTAAAAATGATTAGATAACTTACCCTCATATTGCCTACCTGACAGAAAGTTAAGATTTGAGGGCTAGAGATACAGCTCAGTGGTAGCGTGCCTAGCATACACAAGGCCCAGGGTTTAGTCTCCCAATACTTTAAAAAAATATATACTATTTTTATTTTTGTATATAAGTGTATTGTCACATGTATGTAAGTGCACCCATGTCACGCAGTGCCCATCGGAGTCAGAAGAAGGCATCAGATTCCCCTGGAACTGGAGTTAGAGTTGTTAGCCGTCTTGTGGGTGCTGGGAATTGAACCTGGGTCCTCGTCCTCTGCAAGTCAGTGCTCTTAACCACTGAGCCATCTCTCCAGCCCCGGGTCCCCAGTACTGTAAAAAAGGAAGAAAAAAAGCAGACACAATCACTTGCATCTGTAATTCCATCTGTATTTGGGAGGCTGAGGCAGGAAGGTTGGCACAAATTTGAAACTAGCTTAGGCTACAATGAGACCTTGTCTTAAGGAGAGGAAAAAGGAATATATATGTGTCTACTTCTGTCTTCAAAAGCCTGGCTATTCTACTCAGGAAGCAGAGGCAGGTGGATCTCCAGGCCAGCCTGGTCTATATAGTGAGTTCCAGGCCAGCTGGGGCTACAGGGAGACCCTGTCTCAAAAAGACAAGAAAAAGAAAAAGCCTGGCTGTTCTATTACTTGTTTTGGAGACACTGGCCTGGAGTTAGAAAAGGCTACCAGAAGGAAGTAAATTTTGGATCCCTTTGAACTGAAGTTACAGGCATTTGTGAGCAAGAGGTAAATTTTGAACATGGTTCTTAATGTCCACTTTCCAGAAGCATGTGTTCAGGGAAAGATCCCTAATCCGTTACTTCCTTCTTGTGGACTGACCATTACCAATAAGTATCTCGTTGAGCAAAGCAAATGCTCTGATTCTCAAGAGCTGTTAAAGAGTACAGCAGGGTGCGTAGCCTTTCACAGCCCTCAAAGAGGAAGCACATTTTCCTTCCTTAAAGCAAAGCCTGAGAAGCAAGAGGATGGTATGGTTGTCGGGTCTAAATTTTCTGAAGCCAGGCATCCTGCTGCATGCCTGCACTAGGGAGGCTGAGGCAGGAGGCTTGTTTGAGCCCAGGGGATCAGGGGCAGCTTAGGCAACACAGCAAGACTTTGTTTTGGGGTTTTTTGAGACCTGGTCTCACTGTGTAGTCTTGGATGGCATTGCATGAATCCTCCTGTTTTAGCCTCTCAAGCATTGGGGTTACTTGTGTGCACCACTTTACCCAGCTATTATTAGTCTTAGTCATCCTTTCTTGCTGTCTCTCTCTCAGATTTTTTTTTTTAATTATGCGTAATTTGCTAAAAGAGTAATCCAAGATTCTGATTACGTTTGAAAGTGGAAGGAGGATCAGAGAACATCCTACCTGCTGAAGTAATGACTTGGCATGGTTCTGAAGATCCCCTCCAGCCTGCCTTGACCTTCCTGCCCTTGTCATCCCACTAGGTGCAGAGCACCTCCCAGCTACTGAGTCGACCTCTATCTGCGGTGGTGTTGAACCGACCAGAGACATTGGCAGATGCGGTACCTTGAGTTGTGGAGGGGTGGGACTATGGTTTGGGGGTGAGGGGTAAAGAGGGTTACCTGCCAGAAGAGTAGGGGGGGTTGCTGAAGACATTTACTTACCACAGACTGAAATTCAGGAAGGCCATTGGCATTACATGGAGATGGAGGCAATTAATACTGTGTATATTAGTGTTTGCCACTGGCAGTTCGTGCCTATGTGCCACTGTTAACTTACAGTACTTGGCCTCCTCTACTGACTAGGTCCCAAGCACCAAAAATAGGCTAGGGCCCCAGACTTAATACTTCTAGACCATACCTGAATCATGGAAGCATTTGAACTCCACCTCCTGCATTTAAAGATTCTCTTAGGGGGCTGGAGAGATGGCTCAGCGGTTAAGAACACTGGATGTTCTTGCAGAAGATACAGGTTTGATTCCCAGCACCTATATGGCAGCTAATAACTGTCCATTACTCCACTTCCAGGGGATCCGACAGCCTCTTCTGACCTCCACAGGCATTGCGTGACATAGGTGCACTTAACTACATGCGGGCAATACATACACATAAAATAAAAATTTAAAAAATTCTCTTGGCCATCATTTTAGGGAGGTTTCCAGGAAATTGAATGATTTTCCATTGAAGGAAGAACATCTTACTTGACAGCATTGCCTTTGGAAGTGGTAGAAATGTTTCTTAAACAAAACCTTGCCTTCTCCCTGCCTCTTCTTCACAGAGCCTCAGCAGCTTGGCAGTCCCACGTCCCCGGACCTCACTCATCCCTACCTGCAGCTTCCAAACCAGCGCCATATTGAGGGACATCGACACAGCAGCCAAGTTCATTGGGGCTGGGGCTGCCACCGTTGGGGTGGCTGGCTCTGGGGCTGGGATTGGGACTGTGTTTGGGAGCCTCATCATTGGTTATGCCAGGTAAGGTTACTTGAGCCCTCCTTGGCTAGAATCTGCAACCAAAGGTCAGGGTCTACAGCGGCACAATCCTGTCCAGTAGCCACTAGCTTCGTATCGTCATTTAATTAATTAAAACTATGAACTAGGGGGCTGGAGAGATGACTCAGTAGGTGAAGGCACTTGCTGCCAAGCTTGACACCCTGAGTTCAATCTCCGGGCTCAGGAAAAAGAGAGAATGGACTCCTACAAGTTGTCCTCAGACTTCCATGTTTATGGTGGTATACATGTGAGTGCAAACATATATATATATATACACCTAAATAAGTAAATAAACAAATGTAATTTAAATATTTATTTTTGTGGTAGGGTCTCATATTGTCCTGGCTAGCCTGGATCTCAAGAGATCTACCTGCCTCTGCCTCCTGAGTGCTGGGATTAAAGGCACACATCAGCAAGCCAGGCCTAAAAAAAATTAGGGCAAGGAGGAAGCTAGAGAGATGACTCAGTGGTTAAGAGTATATACTACTCTACCAGATGACCCAAGTTCATTTCTCAGCACCCATGCCTAGTTCCAGGGGATCCAATGCCTCTGACCTCTTCAGAAGCCCACACTTATGTGCACAAGCTTCATACACACACACACAGAAACACATAAATTTTTTATAACTTTTTTTTTTTTTTCTGGTCTTTTTTTTTGAGACAGGGTCTCCCTGTAGCCCCAACTGTCCTGGAACTCACTGTGTAGACCAGGCTGGCCTTGAACTCACAGAGATTTGCCTGCCTCTGCCTCCCAAGTGCTGGGATTAAAGGCCTGCGCCACCACGCCCAGCCAAAATATACATAAATTTTTAAAAATCCTTTTAATTTAAAATAAAATACTACAAACTAGGTGTGATGGCATAGACCTATAATCTCAACACTTGGGAGGTAACGTCAGAAGATCAAGAGTTCCAGGTCAGCCTGGGTTACATAGTGGGGGCCAGGCCAGGCTAGGCTACATGAGACTGTCCCAACATAAAACTGAGGTTTTCAGTTCCTTATTCATACAATTTCAGGCACTTAGGACCACATGTGGCCAAGCACTGCCATATTTAACAATGCAGATATAGCACATTTATGCCATGGAACAGCTATTGAATAGCCTTAGCATAGAACAGGGGCTAGCAATTTAAGCCTGAGAACTATATTTAGACCACAATCTGGTTTTCTGTGGTTGAACTAAAAGTAAAAATGGCTTTTACTTTTGTTTTATATATTTTTGTCTTTTTGAAACGGGGTCTCCTTGTAGCCTCAGCTGGCCTGGATCTCACAGAGATCCTCTTGCCTCTGCCTCCCAAGTGCTGTGACACCATGCCCAGCTTATATACAAAGTTAACATGCTTGCTATTCAGAAAAAAAATTGAGGCAACAGAGATCGGTCTGTATGTGGCACACAAATCCTAAAATAACTATTTGGCCCTTAACATAAAGTTTCCCATTCCTGGTCTAGAGCTCGTTCAGTATAGTGACTTTATTGCTGTTTTCCCCATCCCTGGGAGTTCCCTCTGTTGCTCCTGGGACAGCTGCCTTCACAGCCAGCCCCACTGGTCCCTGACACCTGGAATTGTTTAGTTCCTACCGTTTCTAGACAAGTCACTATAGAACTAAATTAATCCTCTAGAGAACAGCAAGCTCTCTTAACGTCTGGGGAAATAGGGTTATTTTTCAGTATCTGTATTAAACAAACAGCCTGACTACTTCTGTGTTCACAATTCTGTTGATCTACCTTAGCCATAAGACTTCCACGGGTGCCAGAGGAAGGGAAATGCAAAATATATATTTGTATTATGTAATACAAAGTTGGGGCTCCTTTGCCCTATTTTGATTGTTATAAACACCAAGACCTCCCTCAGCATCTTAAAGCCTAAAGTCTCTCGCTATTTTCAAATGAGCACAGAAAGTCAGCCTTTGGAGTCTCCTGCCCTCTTAGTGTCGCCTTCATTGTCCCATAAAGCCATCAGACCCCGAGAATATGATCCAGAGCCTATCTTAGAGAATGAAGGGGAAACTACACAGCATTTAAAATTCTCCACCTGCAGTTTTGTTCTGTGTCCTGTGGGGGTTCTGCTGTTCTAGAAGAACCCTGCCACTTTGGGTACCCCTTTACCCTGTTGTGGCCCTTAATGTTAAGTATCCAAGACTGTTGGTTTTTTGATATTTTGTTTGTTTGTTTGTTTTGAGATAGGATCTTACTCTTGTCACTCTGGCTGGCCTGTACTCACAGAGATCTACCTGCCTCTGCTTCCTGAGTAGTGGGACTAAAGGTGTGTGCTCCCACACCTGGCTCAGGCCTATAGTTTCAAGTTACTGTGATGGTAGGAGTGTTCCACTGGAGGAGGTAATGTTTGTACATGGGCCATGTAGTTTTTAGATTGTCCACTCCTACCTTGTGTATGCCCTTTTGAAACCTTAATGCAAGAATCTGGGTGTGATTGGGATCACCCTAAACCATTCCTTTATATATGAGCTTGAAGGAAATTCTCCCAGATGTCTACCTTATGTGTTTGGCCTTTTCTTTATGTGGACTAGAAGTTTATTTTTTTCCCCTCTTTTTCCAGGAACCCTTCTCTGAAGCAACAGCTCTTCTCCTATGCAATTCTGGGCTTTGCCCTCTCGGAGGCCATGGGGCTCTTTTGCCTAATGGTGGCCTTTCTGATCCTCTTCGCCATGTGAAACAGCAGCTGTCTCCACCTCCCATAGTTGTTTCTCCCATGTCTTGTCTGCCCTGTATGTTCCTTTTCCTGTACCTCCCCAGGAAATCTGGGGAAAGTGGTTGGCTCAGGGTTTGACAGAGAGAAGACAAATAAATACTGTATTAATAAGATGTTTCTGGAGTCTCCTGTATATATTTCTTTTCCACTGTTGGCTGAGTGCCTGGGTGAAAGTACAAGGCTTGGTGGGTAGTGATGGTTCTAAACTCAACAGGGGTCTGGCTACGTTCATTCTTTAATTCTCTGTTTCAAGAAAATGTTATTCAAAACAGCTATCCTTTTAATAATTATCACTAGGTCTAATCACTTGCCTTGGAGGATTGAGGTCAGTAGCCACTTACAGTACTGGCTTAAAATGATTACTAATAGGTTTTGGTTACCTATCACTGCCACTATCCTGGCTCAGGCCACATTGTCACCCATCTGGTCTACTGTGAACTTCTTAACTGGCTGCCTGCCTCAGTCTCTTCCCTCTAGCATTTCCTTCTACTGACTGCCAAGTAAATCCTCCTTTAAGGACAGGGCCGATTTTGTCATTTAACAATTCAAAAACAACTTTCACACATACACATCCCATTGGCCTGCAACTCTGTAAATCAAGTTCCATTAAACAGCACTACTCCTGCCTTTGCTTCCTGAGTGCTGGGATTACAGGTGTGAGCCACAACACCCTCTTATTTTCTGTTTAATTTTGGAGGGGGTGGGTCTTGCCACATTGCCCAGGGCAGCCTTGAACTGGACTCAGGACTTCCAAGTAGCTAGGATTACAGGTACATACTGCCATACCAGGCTTGTCTTTTATCCCCATACACTGCCAAAGCATATTTTCTGATGTTCTCCTGCCCTCACCACGTCTTCCTGCCTTGCCTTCCCCTGGTCATCTCTTGCTTTTTTTTTTTCTTCTTTTTGAGACCCAACTAGCCTGGAACTCACTATGTAGACTTGGCTGGCCTTAAACTCACAAAGATCCGCCTGCCTCTGCCTCCTGAGTACTGGAATTAAAGGTGTGTGTGCCGACATGCCCACCTTTATAAAGCTGTTTTCTGATATCCATCTACCCTTAGTCAAATAAGCATTAACCTCTGTAAAGAGCTATAGAACACATTGTATCCCTTTTTATAACATCTATGATAAATCATGGATTTGTGTGTATGTGGGCATTTTATTTTACATAAGTTCATGTGTGCACATACAAATGTATTTTTAAAAATAGAAATGATAATCTAAATGACCATAATGCTTTCACTTTTCATTTAGTCAGTGACTTAAAGTCCACAAGCAGAGACCCACCTTGGTATACTCCATTTCCCACACCTTGTACCGGCCATCTCTTGTGTGTATGTGGGCATTTTATTTTACATAAGTTCATGTGTGCACCTACAAATGTAATATTTTTAAAAATAGAAATGATAGTCTAGATGACCATAATGTTTTACTTTTCAGTCAGTGACTTAAAATCCACAAGCAGAGACCCACCTTGGTATACTCCATTTCCCACACCTCCTTGTACTTGTCATCTCTGCTCTGTTAGCACCCTATGGACCCCAGATCTAGGAGCTTTCCCAGACCTGCCTTGCTTGATTAATGCATCTTTCAACTCTCAGCAAAGAAGTTTCCTTACGCAGCAGATGGTGATTAACACAGAAACCCACACCTGGCCAATGTGCAGAGCATAAGAGGCTACAGGCTGCTTATGCCTGAATAGGGCGTGTGTGTGTGTGTGTGTGTGTATAAAATCAAACTTCTGCCTCCCAAGGCTCAGGGGTGATTGAGGAAGAAAGGGCAGAAAGATAGAGCCAGAGGAGGTGGGTGACCACAAGAAAACAGTTTTTCAGATAGCGGGACAGTTACTCAAATGAACTCAGCAATGATGACAGCATGCACAAGTCCCACACAAGCTCGAGCTAGACAAAATCCCAGCATAAATATGAGGAAGTAGGTAAGAGACCCCAACCCAACCTAATGAATTATTGGCAACTGATGGCTATTGGGCAAGGGAGAGTCAGTCTTGTTTAAGGGTGAGACTCTTGGTAGGTTGACCAGGCTCCAGTGGATGAACTCAGAGCATTTGGGGACACAAACCTGACCCTCTAGGCCTTTATATATATTAGAGGACAGGAAATTTAGGGGTGGGGAGGTAGTAAAAGGGGGGTGAAGATATGGGAGGGAATCTAAATATGAAATTTTCAAAAATTCAATTTAAAAAATGAAAAAAGTCCACAAGCGCCAGGCATGGTTGCACAAGCCTTTAGTCCCAGCACTTGGGAGGCAGAGGTAGGCAGATCTTTGTGAGTTTGAGGCCAGTCTGGTTTACGTGTTTCCAGGACAGCTGGGGCTACAAGGAGACCCTGTCTCAAAAAAGACAAAAATCCACAAGCAAAAAGCTGGGCATAGCAGTACAGGTCTGTAATCATAGCATCCAGTGGGTGGAGGGCTGAAGGATGACTCCTGAGATGGTCTCCTGGCCTCCACCTGCATACGCACAAAAGCGCACACACAAGAATTCCGTAAGCAGGCCTTTTCCATCATCCTTGACTTTTTGGTACTGTGATGAGTTGAGAAGGTTCTATTTGTGGTTTGGTTCCAGAGTACTACCCTAGCTGCTGTTTTGGGGCTATGGACCTCATAAGGACAGAGCCTGACTTCTGTCTCCAGCCAGAAGTTGATGGAAGTATCTACATATGTAGAAATAAGCACTAGCCCTCCATTTGCTTTGATCACTTGAGTTTGAACCTGTAGTAGGAGGCTGCCCTGCCCTATTCCCTCAGAGTCATCAGGGTTCTTTCCCTTCTCAGTCCTCTCTCTGGAACTGAATTAAGATAATCCCTAAGTGCCTACATGTTTTTGTTCTCTCTAAGGTGACTGATGAGATGGCTCTGTAAGAAGCTTGGAAGCAAATTTATTCAGGAGTCAAGGCAACCTGGGTTCTCTCAGCTTCAGGACCCAAGAGACATTTATTGGCAACCCAAGTTGCCAGCAACTTGGGGTAAAGGCATGTGATGTTTAGTAGAGAAACTGGATTTAAGAGCAGATTTCTGAAGATCTTCCCAACTTTGGCGACACAGCTATCAAAGCTTTCTGCTTATCCCTATTTTTAAAACAGCTCATGATTTGAGGGGCTGGAGAGATGGCTCAGTGGTTAAGAGCACTGACTGCTCTTGCAGAGGACTCGGGTTCAATTCCCAGCACCCACTTGGCGCTACAAACCGTCCTTAACTCCAGTTCCAGGGGAATCCGAAGCCCTCTTCTGACCTCCACAGCATTGCACGACATGGGTGCGCTCACATACATGCAGGCAATACACTCATACACATAAAAAAATAAAAATTATAAAATATTTTTTAAAGACAGCTCATCATTTGAAATCGGGAGACTTCAGAATGTCTGATTTCTCTTGTAGCACTGAGTATTTCTCACCAGTAACTTTCCAGGACTTCTGTTTTTCCCACATACTGAACAGGAGTAGTAATATTCATCCCAGGAATTATACAAGTACACATAAAGGTACTCAGAGTATTCGGAAAGGCTGTCAAAATGCAATATATGTTGAATTTTTTATACTTGCTTTCTCATTCTTCATGACCCTTACAGTCTATGACAGCCATTTTATAGGCAACTTTCCCCTCTTCTGGTTGGCATAAGGAAGGGAACTTTTTTTTAAATATTTTATTTATTATTTTTATGTGTATGAGTGTATTGCCTGCATGTATGTGCGTGCACCCGTGTCGTGCAATGCTGTGGAGGTCAGAAGAGGGTGTCGGATTCCCCTGGAACTGGAGTTAAGGACGGTTCCTAGCCACCATGTGGGTGCTCGGAGTCCAACTCCAGTCCTCTGCAAGAGCAGTTAGTGCTCTTAACTGCTGAGCCATCTCCAGCCCCCTGTCTTTTTTCTTTTTAAGATTTATTTATTGTAATAGTAATAAAAAAGAGACCACAAAATTGAGGGAGGAGGGCAGTGGGAAGAGTTGGAGTGGGGAGAGGAAGGGGAAAGTGGTATAAAAACATCTCATATATGGAATTCTCAATAATTTTTTAAAGATTTTATGTGTATGAGTGTTTTGCCTGCCTGAATGCACATGCATGAATATGTACCACATTCATGCCTTGATACTCTTGGAAACGAGGGCATAGGATCTTTTGGAACTAGAGTTACAGGAGGTTGTGAATTACTATGTGGGTGCTAGGAACCAAACCCAGGTTCTCTGCAAGAGTAACCAGTGCTTTTATTTACAGAGCCATCTCTCTAGTCCCAATGTCCCCATTTTTTCAACAGTCAGTTGTGTACCAGGGGAGGAGTATCAATTGTTCTGTACCCTCCTTAACTGGAAGTAAATGATGCCTTTGAAAATCATCTCAATGCTAAACAGCAGTAACGAGTTGCCCTGCTCCAGCCTCCCTTTCAGGATGGATTTATTAGTGCCGGGCCTTTTCAAGGCCATCAGCATGAGAAAACCACCCAAGAACAATACTTGTGATTTAGCTTGAGTTGATATCCGCCCTTCTCTTGGGGAAATGAGATGAAAGTATATTCTAGTTGAATTCTCAAAGAAGGAAGAACAGCAGTTGGTCAATATTGCCATAGTCTGCCAAGTTTTGAGCGATAAAATAATTGCCTTTTTGAGCTATATCTCAAAAAAAGTCTCACCTTTTTCCAACATACATTCTTTTTTTTTTTTTGGTCTTTTTTTGGATAGGGTCTCCCTGTAACTCCAGCTGACCTGGTGATCTGGAACTCACTATGTAGACCAGGCTGGCCTTGAACTCACAGAGATCCACATGCCTCTGCCTCCCGAGTGCTGGGATTAAAGGTATGTGCCACCATGCTCGGCTTCCAGTATGCACACACTCCTGGACAACTTGGTGGAGTCCCCATTTGTTGAGGAAAAACTGAAACATGGAAGGATCAAAAGATCCTTAAGATTCCTTAAATTTTCCCTAATTTTGAATTTTTATCATTTACTTCAAGACACTGTGACCAAACAAAGTAGCCACTTTAGAAATGGCAGAGGACATTCATAGAATAGTAAACATGAAGACTTGCCTCTCACATCAAATACTTTTTAAAAAATTTTTAAAATATATATATATTTTTTATGTGTATGCATGAATTGCC